TTGGGTTTTCCCAAATTGAAGACTGTGAGTCGGAGTTTCTTTCTATACTTTCTTCTTGACTTGACGGTCGAACTTTCTGCCTCTGAGCAGAAAGGAACCCGGACGAGGTTCCGCCGAAGGGCAGAATCTCGTTCGGGGAGAATGACCAACCCGATCTCGTTTATACGAGTTATACGGGCATTTTTGGCTGAGCCTACGGGCTCGGGAAACCCACGATAAACTCGGCCTTGTGCCACATGCAACCCTCGGGGGGGGGGCTAGATACCGTTTCTTTCTATACATGGGGTAGATATAATCCCAAAGAAAGGGCGCCATGTGTTTGTAAGCTGCTGGGGCGGAGGGGGGGCATATTTATTCTCAGCCATACTTACCTTGGCCCAGGCTAAAAAAAAAGCAACCATTTGGTTTGGGCTGCTGTTAACAAATAGGAACGAGACCCAAAGAGAGATAATCGCCTTCTGTGTAGTGACCTATGGTAAAAAGTAATATGATAAGAGGAAATTTTCGTTAGAAACAAAGGAAAGAGTGCTGAACTGCACTGTAATGCCAGACCTCCACTATGGCAGTAAATGTTGGCCATTTTCCTCACAGAAGAACAAGACTCGAAGCGATAGAGACATGATTCTACAGAGGAATACTGAGAATACAATGGACAGAACATGAGAGCAATGAGGAAGTCTTAAAGTAACTGAGAACTAAAAGGACACATATCTAAAATAAGAAAGAGTTGAAAATTCTAGGATACATAATGAAGATGGACGGCTTGAAGAATTTAATAGTCTTAGGACATTGAAAAAAAGAAAGACAGAAGGGAACATCGAGTCACCTAGACTTGTGCATAATGGATGGAAGAACATGGAAGAGGGATAGCAACAACAAAAAAATCATTGCTATAAGCTTCAAATAATAGGAAGTTGTGGAGAGCCATGATCGCTCTGGTCCTGAATAAACATGGCACAGAACGAAAGAAATTATGCTAACTACAATTTCATTTAATATGATATTGCTAATACGAATACAACTCGTATAAATAAAACAACTGAAATTATCGGCGGGATGATCGTGCTTACAACTCCCGAGGATGTTTAATAAATTGTAAATTATATCACATTGGGAAAGCTTGTTTATTTTGTTTATATATTCGCTTTATATTTATTTTACGTATATTTATAATAGTTTTTGTTGTATAATTATTTTGAAAAGAAAACATTTTGCTTGAAGGAAATAGAAGAGTTACCTCCCTTTGACTTTAAACTTTTAAGAACGCCATATTGTTATTCGCAAAACTTATTTCACTTTTACTTTTTCATTTTTTTTTTTATTCGGTTTCAACCCAAGCAAGGGAGTAAAGACATCTTCCCATTACTTTTTAACAATTCATATCACTTGAGCTACAGACATCAGTCTTCAGTGATTTTTTTTATTGTTTTTGTTTTTTTTTTGTTTTTTGTGCGATAAAATTTTCTCATTGTAAAATAGAATTTTCTCTTGTCATGTTGGACGGTTGTATTCTTAATGAGACTCCTTGCCTAGAACGACTACTGAGACCAAAGCTTTTTAAATAATTCCCCCTAATGCAAGGCAATAAAGCCACTAAGACACAAGGGGTTACTAAGTGTTATTTGATATTGTTATAATCCCTTTATTGATCATAAATAAAGAATGGCAGATGGTGATTCTTGTCGTGCCGGAGCAAGGTCCAAATGAGCGATGCCATCGGTGGCTATAAACTCCTGTTAGGAATAACTTTAGCGGCAAGGTCGAAGACGAGGACCCAGACTAAGCGCAACCAGCCCTAAAACTCCAACGAAAGAACAAGCGGATAAAGATTACAGCAGATCCCAATAGATGGGGAGGGCTACCCATGAAGGATATACTATAGAAGGTGTCACTCAAATTTATAATAGATTTAGAGATAGTCCATTGCAGTTTCTTATGTGGATACAGCAGGCCACATTGCATATGTGCTGCAGAGGAATGCAATGAAATCAGATATGTGGGTCACTTCTTGGCAAGTTGAGATCCAACTTAAACAAACTTATGCCAGGGACATTTTCTTCTACACTGATTTTCTTTGGGACAGACTTTGTTGAAACTGGAAGATTCTAGTCCTGAAACTGTACGTTGGCAGCGAATTTCGTCATTGAAGCCAGTATCATAAAGGAAACGATAAGCAAAGAAGAAATTAAATTCCGGCATAGGAGATAAAGCCGACGACGATAAATAATGAAAACGAGAATCAAAGACAATATATTGTAGGTGGTGGGAATTTTGTCATCGACGCCATCATCAGAAAGGAAACGATCATCAAAGAAAAAAAATTGAATTCTTCGATACGAGATGAAGCCGACGATGATAAATAATGAAAACGAGACTCAAAGAAAATATATCGTATGTTGGCGGCGTCGGCTTCATCTACCCTCTAAGAATTTAATTTTTTTCACCCATACAAGAATATAATTCTTTTTTCTCCCATACAAGATTTTTTTTTCTTTGCTGATCGCTTCCTTTCTGACGAATTAAATTCTTAGAGGGAAGATAACGCCAACGACGATATATAATGAAAACGAGACTCAAAGAAAATATATTGTAGGTTGACGGCGATTTTATTCATCGACGTCATTATCATAAAGGAAGCGATCAGCAAAGAAAAAAAATTAAATTCTTAGATTGAAGATAAAGCCGATGACGATAAATAACGAAAACGAGAATCGAAGAAAATATATTGTAGGTCGGTGGCCAATTTAGTCATCGACAACATCATCATAAAAGAATCGACCAACAAAAAAAAAAAAAAAAAGAAAAAAAAAAATTAAATTCTTGGATACGAGATGAAGCCGACGACGATAAATAAAGAAAACGAGAATCAAAGACAATATATTGTAGGTGGTGGGAATTTTGTCATCGACGCCTTCATCAAAAAAGAAAGGATCAGCAAAGAAAAAATTTTAAATTCTTCGATACGAGATGAAGCCGACGATGATAAATAATGGAAACGAGACTCAAAGAAAATACATTGTATTTTGACGGTGAATTTAGTCATCGACGCCATCGTCACAAAGGAAGCGATCAGCAAAGAAAAAAAAATTAATTCTTAGATGTGTGGGAATAAAATAAAATACAAAATTAAATAAAAGTATAAAAATAATAAAATAAACATTAAAATCTCCCAAGAGTCCTCTGACAGGAAAGACAAATTACGCAGGTGCAAAAAAATAAAGAATAAAAAGAGCAGACGTTTTTTTAAAAGAGAGACGCTTAAAAAGAGCAGACGTTTAAAAGAAGAAACGCTAGGCCTTTTCTGTTGGACCATTGACTGGTGAATACGTACCAACTGTTTTGGGAGGAAATTCCCCAACAAGAGGTCGTTGAATCCAATAGAAAGAAATAAAATCAGTCCTAAACAGTCCCTCCATTGTCTCCGTATCCTTTCGTCTTTTCTCTATCTATTTATCACAGCAACGGAGGAAATTCAACGAGTTTTTAGGTGAAATAATCAATCCAGCACTAATAGCCGTAACATCTATAGATGGAAGATAAAGCCGACGACGATAAATAATGAAAACGAGACTCAAAGAAAATATATTGTAGGTTCGCGGCGAATTTAGTCATCTACGCTGTTATCATAAAGGAAACGATCAGCAAAAATAAAAAAAAAAAAAAAAAAAAAAAATTCTTGGATACGAGATAAAACCGACATCGATGAATAATGAAAACGAGACTCAAAGAAAATATATTGTTTTATTATTCGAAAAAAATTGTAATGTATTTTTTGGCTCTTCAGTGTACAATTTAAAAACATTAACATTCATAATTTTTCCCAAATATTTTATTTGGATGGAATATAATTTACGTAACATTGGTAAGATAACCGGAGAAAAAATTACGTAGAGAAAATGTATACTTGTCATAACGTATATTTATCCAGAATTAAAAAAAAAAAAAAAAACAACATTTTAAAATCAGATCGTAAAATATCGATCGATCTTTTTTAATAAAAATAGATAAATAGATAAATAAATACAACAAAGGATCATAAAAATAGCGGAATCATGAAAATGATTTAAAAAAAAAATAACCTTCGATTTACGTCCTTGTGTTTACGTCATCAAACTATGAAATGACATGATTGTGCGCATGCGCGCTTTTATTTTTCTCTTTTTTTAAATATTTTTATTTTATAATGCGCGATCATTGGAATTGCTTTCATACCGCCTTAGTTTGTCCCACATAATGGGCATCATATATTTCTTTCTGGGGTCTTTTAGAAAACATTCTGATGAAAGGGAAAATACTGGGTCTGTGTAACAGTTTTCACAAGTTGTTGGCCTGTTCCAAGTCATGAATTTCGTGCTCTGTAGGGTGATTTTTGAACCAATATTTTGAGAACGGAATGCACAAATTATATAACAGGAAACAGGGTCTGTCATTTATCGTCTGCAAGTATTTTCTTAAAAAATAATTTAGAAAAAGTCTTAATTTTGTAGAAATTAATTTATTAATCAACAACAACAATAACAACAACAAATGGTAAAAGTAAGATTTCTCCTTCAGAGCAGCCTCGGTTCATGTTTCACATGTCGAACAAATCGGTTTTCGAACAGAAAATTCGAGATGATAAATGCCTCGGTTATCGAACAAAATTTCGGTTCTCGAACAACATTACCGAACCGAGTTAAACCGAACGGAATATTTTCTGAGTCGACCGCCGTATTGTACACATTCGTGTGTTGTGCCGTTCTTTTCTTTTCCAATTTTATTGTACTGTGACTGTTTTTTTCTCTGCATTGATTCCTATTGGAAAAATAATTTCGGTTTACGAACATTTCGGGTTACGAACTGTATCCAGGATCGAATTAAATTTGTGAACCGAGGTTTCACTGTAATTTCAAACACATTTGGGTTCCCCTTAGACAGTCTGGGATGAGCCAGGCGGTATTGATGATAATAGGGAGAGAGAGAGAGAGGTAGAGTAATGATGAAATAGTAGATGCAGGGGTTTAAGAGGGCAAAAAGGTAAGAAAAAGAAAGGAAGAGAAAGAAAGAGGAACAAAAAGACAAAAGGGAGAAAGAAACAGAGTGCTCAGAGAGAAAGAGAGAGAGAGTATATATGTGAGAGAGGAGCAATAGTATGAGTTCAGCGAGGGAGTGAGAGAGTATATCTCTGAGTGGGTTGATTTGTGTGATATATAAATCCAATCAGCACCTGACGATTCAAAAATGTATATCTATTATTATTAGGTTGTTGCAAAAATAATGACGTAATAATGTCGTTTTTTGACGTACTTTTCTACGTCAAAAAACGACATTCTTACGTCATTATTTTTGCACCAACCTAATAATATAAATATCAGCTGTTATTATATATCGAGCACTGTTTTGTTAGCATCAGCACTCAATAAATACGAAATTGATGTTATACTCAACACTCCGACTCCAGAGTTTCGTAGAGGAAGATTTTGTAATCTTTCAGTTCGCTCGTCAGGAGGTATCAACAATTGTCTGCCGATTTTCTCATTTTCGTTATTTTAAAATTAAGTTAAAAAAATAATTTATGCCGTTTTTATTGGTGTTAGACTGATTTTTACTTCCTTGTTGGTGTGCGTGTTAATGCGTGTGTATGTGTGTGCGTCAAACAGAGAAAATTTGTTTAACAGTGTTTGTTTTTCGCCGAGAAAAGACACGTGCGTCTCCCAAACTACAAATTTTAAATATTTTTCTCATTTTCTTCTATTTTGTCTAATAATAAATAAATAATTTTTCATTATTATTTATTTTTCTGATATTGTCGACAGGTATATATATATATATATATATATATATATATATATATATATATATATATATATATAAATAATAAAGAACAAAGAGAAAATTTCAGCGTTCAAAACATTAATTTAAAACAGGGCTCAATACAAAAATAGAGTAATAAACATGTACATGTTCTAATGTAACAGTGCATAATATATATATATATATATATATATATATATATATATATATATATATAAATTATAACATAAAATATTTATAAAATCACTACAAAAATAGCCATTTTGTTTCAACACCCTCAGTGTCTTATCAAGTGATGATGTTGAAGATAAAATAATAATTTTATTTTATCTTCAACATCATTTGATAAGACACTGAGGGTGTTGAAACAAATTTAATTTTAATTTTGTAGTGATTTTATAAATAATATTTATGTTATATATATATATATATATATATATATATATATATATATTTATTTATTTATTGGAAAACAAAATCTCTACACAATTGCAGTCGTGTTTCAATGCGTATCAAATATATATACAAATATATATATATATATATATATATATATATATATATATATATATATATATATATATATCGAAATATATATATATATATATATATATATATATATATATATATATATATATATATATATATTCCTTTTATACGTTCTATTTATAGATATGATTTATTTAAATGGTGTGTTTTTTAACTGAACAATTATTTCGAACTTTGCTCACGAGAAGCTGCTTTGTGACTGAATGGCTAACAGCACACCATATCAAATCAAATGATGGTTCCATCGAAGAAGCACATATTTCCTACGAAATTTCAGCCCGGTAAATGCAATTAATACTATTTAATTAAAAAAAAAAAGAAGACTTGAATCAATTACATCTATAAAAAATAATAATCCATTTCATATATATATGTATATATATATATATATATATATGATAAAATGAAATAAATAACAAAGTAGGAAATGAATATCCGTCTAACATATTTCACCTTTATTACGGCTTCGTCAGAGATCGAGAATAGAAATTAGAAATGAAAAGGCAGAGACAGAGTATTGGAATGTTATGATTTTTTGGTAGTTCTCATTGGTCAGACACGCGTCACGCGTATAAATGAAATAGATAATATAAAAATGTGTGGGAGGAAAATTTAGGATGTTAAAGTGTATGCGAGGGAAATCTACAGATGTCATCCACGTATTTTGTCGGTGAAATGTAGCGATAGATTGGAACTAATTTCGTACTTGGTTGTATATATATATATATATATATATATATATATATATATATATTTCAACAGCTCTACATGTTAAGATTTATTTTTTATATGTATATCGAGCACTTTTTAATACTATTGTTTCCTGGTCTAATTCAATATATATATAGATAGATAGATAGATAGAGAGAGAGAGAGAGAGAGAGAGAGAGAAACAGGAGAGTGAGAAATTACCTTGATGCTTCTTGAACAGAGAGTGTGTATGAATGAGAGTGATAGTGTGAGTGTGTGTGTTTGTAAAATAGAAATACAATGCGTAGTATGAATGAGAGATTGTGTGTGCGACTGAGAAACTGTGTTTGCAATATATAGAGTGCGTATCTTTGTGAGAGAGTGAGAGAGAGTAAGAGAGAGAGAGTGAGTGATGGAAAGAGAAGATAAAAATCATGACGGTACGCGATGGTCACTGGAGTACTCGGAATGGTCTGAATGATGTTAAGAGAGAGAAAGGCTGAGAAAACCAAGAATGAATTCAAATGATGCTGACCACGACTAAGAAAAACCGGGAGATTCGATTGGGAATTTGGAATTCAAGAAAACGAAATCTTTAGAATAGGGAATAAATATAGGAAAAGTATGATTCTTTGGGACTTTGAAACTTAAATTTATCACTTGATCTCGGCTTGAGGAATAAATCTAGAAAATAAGAAAAAAAATTCCTACAGCCTTTGAAATACTGACAAAACTCATATACAGACGAGGAGATCAAATATAAACAATAGAAAAAAAAATTCTTTCTGAAACAACATAAAATTTTAGATTCTTTGTGTTCATGGAACTCAAACAAATCGCCCAATCCAGGTCGGGTGCCTATATTCAAAGTTTATAAAAAGACAGTTTGAGACTTTGAAATTCAAACGGACTATCCAATTCAGGTCAAGTGAACTTTCTAAAAAAAAAAAAAAAATAACAGATTTTGGTACTTTAAAATTTAAACAATTCAACCAATCCGTGTCAAAAGACTAGCCAATATTTGATAGGTCTGCGTGTTTGAGTAGACACCTCCGTTATTTTCAGCTTTTAAATTAATGTCAACCAGTTTTGAGATAGACTAGCCCAACAAAATATAATGTGTTTCCCGATAGGAATCGAAATTTCATTTTCCATCGGTGAAAATTCTTTTTGATTCAATTTGAAAATCTGGCAAGGTTCAGTTGTCTATTTACGTAATGAATATATTTCGTTTGGATAGTTTGAAGTCACTATCTGAAAGAAAATAATTTATCTTTTAGGCAATTAATGATTTTTTTAAATTAAAACAATATTATTTCTATTACTTATTCTTATATATACGTGTGTGATGCGTGTTGAGAAGCATACATACATATATATATATATATATATATATATATATATATATATATATATATGTGTGTGTGTGTGTGTGTGTGTGTGTGTGTGTAATGCTCTTCTACTCGAATCGAATATATATATATATATATATATATATATATATATATATATATATATATATATATATATAATGCAATGCTCTTCTTGAATTGAGCTATCCTAGCTACTGACGTCTTTCGTGCGAGGATAGCTTGGGGGTAGAATGCCTGACTGATGACAAATCGGTCGGGTTTCGATCCCGGTTTGAAGCAATCGGGTACAGAGAAGTGATACAGCCAAGCAGTCTCCCTGTGGATGACTATATATATATATATATATATATATATATATATATATATATATATAAAACAGAATGAGTAAATATACGAGCGAGCTATCGTATACAAATACATATAAATACACTGTAGTGTAAGAAAAAACAGTTCTCAATTTAAAATAACAGAGCTATTTAATATATATATTAATAAATATACATAATATCTTACATTAATTGCACAACTCCGAATTTCATGCTGAAGCAATTTTCAAGAGCTGGAATTATTATTTTTATTTTTATAAAATAGAAAAAAACTTATTTTTATGAAATAAAAATATAAATATTAAACCCAACAGTTGATAATTGCTCGGAGTTGCGCAATTAATGTAAAATATTATGTATATTTCTTAACACACATATATATATATATATATATATATAACAACGTCGAAAAGATTTTTTGTGACGCGTTTCGTTCTTTAGGACTCCATCTGACTAAAGTGATGTTTACGTTGATGTCAATGCACATATACACGGAGGAGAGGAGAGACGAGAATATATATATATATATATATATATATATATATATATATATATATATATATATATATATTATAGATAAAATACGTTATAATTATAGATATAGTGTGGACAATGGCCTCAAAACTACATGGCAAGTGTCAGATTCACGATTGTAGTTTGGACGTAAGAAGCAGGAACAGTCAATGTTGATTCCTATATCTACCTGTCTACTTCTTTCCCTCTCTCTCTTTCTCTCGATATATATATATATATATATATATATATATATATATATATATATATATTCGTACGTGTAACATTTAATATATATATGCGTACGTGTAACATTTTATATATATATATATATATATATATATATATATATATAGATAGATAGATAGATAGATAGATAGATAGATAGATAGATAGATGGATGGATGGAAATAGATATATGATAAAATGTGGAGGTGGGCCTGATAACAGACCATAGCACGCATGCACGAATAAGGCGTTATACACTAATGAGCAAGTATAAGAAAGTTTATGTCGGAGATCAATTTTGTGGACGATTACAACGTTAAATTATCGAATAAATTATTCGAAATTATCGACGATCACCATAAAGATTACAATAATAATCTTCATCAATATATCCTATTGTTACGTTGTTTTTCTCTAAACTAAAATTCCATTTTTCAAGATATCCTATTGTTACGTTGTTTAATCTTTGAACTAAACATATTTAGAACAAATCAGATAAACATGGCAGGTTTAATCGATGTGTCATAACGAACTGACTAATTTTTTTTTTTTTTTAACATTGCTGGTGTTCAATGTATAACACGTGGTTCAGGGATGCGCACTGAGGTTAAGTTCACCTTGTCCCAGTCTTCCAATTTAGGCTGCCACATTTCAGAGATATACAGTCTCTACCGATATTGTTAAAATAAACTATTTTGAATAATATATGTATGTGTGTATGCGTATATATAACATAAAACAAATCATATTTTGCATCTAAAAATATAATTTGTGCATAACGATATATTTTATTATAAACAATGATTAAGTGAACATTGAAGTCATCACTTAAAGGCGACAGTCTGTTTCATGCTAGACGCAATCGTCAGGTCACCTACATATATATATATATATATATATATATATGTATATATATATATGTATATATATATATGTATATGTATATATATATATGTATATATATATATGTATATGTATATATATATATGTATATGTATATATATATATATATATATATATATATATATATATATATATATGTATATATATATATGTATATATATATATATATATATATATATATATATATATATATATGTATATATATAGATATATATATATATATAGATATATATGTATATATATATAGATATATATGTATGTATATAGATATATATGTATATGTATATAGATATATATGTATGTATATAGATATATATGTATGTATATAGATATATATGTATGTATATAGATATATATGTATGTATATAGATATATATATAGATATAGACTCTTTTAAGAATAGTATAGTTATTAGAATCTATTCCGTATACACCAATCCGATAGATAGATAGATAGATAGATAGATAGATAGATAGATAGATAGATAGATAGATATGTGTGCTTGTGCGAAGTGCAACCCAAAAGTTCGAGGTATTTTTAATGCGCGCGCGAAACGCATGTAGGCTATAATTACGTAATTTTTCCGCTGCCTTTTGTGAGCTCGTTTGTAAACAGCAGATTAAAGAGTACTGCGAAGGAAACGGTGGAAACAAGATGTTATATATATATATATATATATATATATATATATATATATATATATATATATATATACGTTTATTTTATTGTTTATTTGGGCAGGATACCTTCTGTTATGCATGTTCCGTTAAATATAACGGACAAGGCTGTTTTATAAGTTTTGAAATATATTTTGTTTTAATTCTGAACCAAAACGTATGAGGATTCTATACTGCAGCGAAAATTATCTTCATTGAAAATAGGTAGAATATTGGTTGAAAGCCTTAGGAAACATTTTAAAATATGGACAATTTCTCCAGACATTCATTCCTCAAAAAAGAGAAACTGTAATTACTCAAGAAAAATTAATTAAAAAACTTACAAAATATTCCCTGTCCACAATATTTTACGAAATATATATATATGTGTGTGTGTGCGTTTATCTGTACATATATGGATATTTGTATGTTTCATTAAATAATATAGACATATTATATTTATTTATTGTTTTAATAATCATTTCTTTTTTCTCTAATTATCTTCTTGATGTAAAGTTAAACTTCACCAAGGAAGGCGCCGTTGATTTTGTTAGTCTTTTGTCTAGTACTTTCGATCACCTCCTCTGGTGAATTGCGAAGACAAACTTAATGTAATCGTAGTCGTTGTGATAGTGATTTTACAAGCACGCGCAAACACACTTTGCTATATTAATTTTGAAATTAACCGTTGTGATTACGATGTTTTATAAAGAACTGTACCCAGTGTAAGAGGATAACCAAATTTTGTAAATCCAAAATGATAAATTGCAAAATGGTGTTAAATTTTAATAAACTCAAATGCATTTTAAAAGATTCCTACTATACTCGCAATAAATTTTGTTCAGTGTTGGTTGGCTGCTTTTGATATAGAGAGCCTCGAGAATTTGAAGATTTTGTTTATTATTTTCATGGTGTAGTATATTGATGTTGTCAACAAGTATTTTCCTTCATTTGTGAAGTTGGGCAGGAATGTGTCTTTAAATATCCTGCAATAGAAATTGTATGCGGCAAATGAAATGTAAGTAATCTTGATAATTTTCTGGTCGTCAAACCAACATAGGTACTGTTGTGGAGTGATTTCACAGTGGAGACTTGTATTTGTACTAAGTCGGTCCTAAAATAGGTTCGACGTACAAAACGTTAGGAACTTGATATAATAGGTATAACGCAGAGTAATCTAGTTGTGGTCGCTGATACTTTAGTATCCGACTAACTGTCGTCCGGCATTGACTGACTCACTGACTGACTGACCGACTCACTAAACGACTCAGCGACTGACTTGTTACTCTTACTACTACTACTTATTATAGGTGGGAGAGTCTATTAACTATAGAATAGGTGTGTTCCACTATAAAAAGTCCTTATTGTCAGAGATAGAAACTCCTAAAAGAAAATTTAAACAATATACAATGTTGGTCTTTACCAAAACAAATGGCCAGATAAGAGTTATTGCGTATGATTAAATTGGTTCCGTTCTGATGGTGTGTCGCCTTGACGTGGTAGGAAGGCAACCGTGCTTCAACGACCTCCAGAGCTATTTAGGCTGAGGCTTCGGCCCTTAGCAGGTCCAAGCAAGCTCGATAAATCTGTTGGGTAGGAGCCAAACGAAAGACACACCCTTGTTCTCCAGGTTGGGGCTTGTACAGTAAGCTAACAACCTACTCGATTAAAACTAGCTCGTTACAGAAACCTCAACTATATCTTCAAACAACGACATGGCCGATGAAGAGTCCTCCACAGTGAAGCGTGTGACGCATGCTGGGAAGGCAGCCGGTACGACAAGGGCCGAGCTGAAGAGGATCGCCCGGAACTGCATCCGTTGGGGAGGTATTGTTGCGGTCCTATGTTCCCCAAGGTATTAAGACGCATAATGAATGAATTAATTTAAGTTGGTTGTGTTAAATTTAGTATAGCATATAATTAGTTTTATTTTTTACTGCGATCAGTCAGTCAGTTATGTGCCATGCGTAATACTCGCGTAGGCGATCATGTACTTTTCAATACATGACTGACGAGGCAGATTTTTTTTCCCGTAGTAGGTTGCCATTTCTTTCTGCGGTAGACCAGTTACCATCCAAGGCTTAGAACATGGTTTGTCCTGCTATTTACCCATAGCTAGGTGAGAAGAAGAGGATTCATACCTTTCCCAGGGCTATTAGCACGTAAGTGAGTATGTCAGTTACGTGTCATGCGTGATATACGCTTAAGCGATCATGTGTCTTTCGATACATGACTGACGAGGCAGATTCTTTTCCCGCAGTAGGTTGCCATTTCTTTCTGCGGTAGACCATTTGCTATCCAAGGCTATAGAACCCGACCTGTCCTGCTATTTACCCATAGCTTTAGAAGAGGATTCATAACTTTTCCCAAATATAAGTAAATGTAATGAATCATTAGGGAATATATATTTGTCCTTATCAGATTTTCTAGGATTTTTTCATATTGTTTATAGTTAGATTGCATCTGATTATGCCATAGTAGGATGATATGTTTAGGGTTATTTAAGTATTATGTTCTTTTTGTTTTAAGTTAATATGTATAACGGCTCGTCTAATTTGTTCATCAACGATGTAATTAGGAAAGTCATTATTAACAAGAGTCTGTTTAATTGTTTTTTTAATTCAATTTAGAAAATCTTTTTCGTGGAAGAGTTAACTTTTTTACGGTTTATTAAATTTTTTTATAATAGCTATTTTTTAATAGTCAGGACATTCACTTTTATAGTTTAGAGTGCACGTGTTTATGTTAGTTAGTTTTCTGTATATGGGGAGGTAGTTAATGTATTATTATTAGTGTCTATCAATATATCAAGAAAAGGAATTTCTTTGTTATTGTTAACTTCATATGTAAAATTAAGAAAGGAGATTTTTAGAAAATGTTCTTGTAGTTTATGTATTTCATCTATTTTTGAACTAAGATAAGAATATCATCTACATATCTTAAGTAGATGGGTGGTTTTTACTGGTGTTAAATATCTTATTTTCAAGGTTAGCCATGTAGAAGTTTCTAAATGTTGCTCCCAGAACTGAACTCATGGAAACGCCATCACGTCGTACGTAGATTTTATTTTGGTGGTCAGAGAAGTGAAGGTCAATGGTACAAGTCAAAAGTAATATGTTTGATTAAATTTTTAGTCGAGGGTGAGATGGATTGTTGTAAATATTCTTTATAATTATAGCAATCGTTTTTCTAACTGAGACATTGGTAAATAAACTTTCAACACCAAATGAGGCTATGGTTTCATTATTAGGTTTTGGTGTTTTAAGATTTGGATTACCGTAATTCCCCATCTATAATACGCCTTCATTCATAATACACCCCACTAAAATTGTGCAGAAAGTGTGGGGAAAATGCTTCTACTCACGCATAATACACACTCCTTGTTTGGTAATCAAACCCTATAAATTGTGCCTCTCCAATTTCATTATGACCAACGTTTCCTTCTCTTATTAAAAAATGATTTTAAACATAGAATACTATTATTCTAATTTAGTTTTATGATAATTCTTATTTTATTTTACATTTCTAAGTACTGTTAGGTACATTTGATTGTATTTGACATCCTTATGGAGTCGTAATCGCCGAATGTTTGTGTCAAATTGTCGTATATTTGTGAGTAGTTATTTAGCAACTGAGATCGACTTATGAAACGGCAATTTTTTAAAGATATTTTTGTAGCTGTGCATAATACGCACCCCGAATTTTGCTTATTATTTTTTTTAGAAAAAATGCGTATTATACACGGTGAATTACGATACTTCGTGAGTTGATTTAATACTGAATATACTAGGCATATATGGTGTAATGAGGTGGTAGAAGATTTTGATTAATTGGTAAACCGGGGTGGAGATTTGGAATATGATGGGACGGAAGGAGAAGTTAGGCTTCTGTATTATTATAGTTTCATACATGTATCCAGTTTTGTAGTCTCTGTTTGGGTTAACAAAAAAATCCCGAGCCTTCCTTGATGAATTTCAACTTAACATCAAAAAGATAATTAGAGAACTAAAAAGGATTATTATAAAAATAATTAGACATAATATGTCTTGGTAGCATTTTTTCATTAAGTCATGTCTCATTAAATAATTTAAACAAGTTTTGTCTATTTATTTTTAATAGGATCCTCTCGTAATTAGGGACAAGATTCTTGGTATCCATATTAAAAGAAGAAAGAAAATTACCATGTTGATGCATATTCATTTTATTCCGAGTACTTAAGAAAAAATTAATTATGAATACTGCACAAATGTTTTCAAATGTTTACCGTAGTTTAAATATCTAGGTTTTAACTAATAGTTTTAAGTAGTTTTTTTTCTTTTTAAAAATATATTTAGACATTAATATAAATTAGTTACCTCCCTTGACGTTTGCATGTGACTCTACAAGATACAATTTAATATTATACTGTTTATAGAGTTTTTCATTTCATACGCAAAAAATACTTTTCAGATGAACACACCAATGTTGGCTTAGAAAAAAAATAGACCCTGATGACGACATTGTACTAATGTCGGAGGTAGTCGGCATAAAATGAATATGCACCAACATGGTAATTTTCTTTCTTCCTTTAATAACGATACTAAGAAATTTGCCCGTAATTACGAGAGGATCCTATTAAAAATAACAAAACAAAACTTATCTAAATTATTTAATGGGACATATATATATATATATATATATATATATATATATATATATGTGTGTGTGTGGGGGGTGTTTGTAGTATGTGTATACACACACACACACACACACACACACATATATATATATATATATATATATATATACACATGCATATATGTGTGTGTGTTTGTGCGAGGGTAAAGAATTTCAGAGTATATCTGTAAAAAGGACAATATGAATAAAGATAAAAGGAAAACTTATCTTTGATGACGCGTTTCGT